ATTCATGTGCATTTATACAAAAAGAAAACTTTATATCAATCAAATACAACCCCAATTATACTATTTTCTCAATCATAAATACTTTATAATTTTGTATGTGTGTTCGCGTGCGTACACTTCTACATATTTAATAAACTATTTCTGCTTTGTGTTGTATAATTAGAAAATAGCTAAAAATTCTTGAAACTCAAGAAGCTTAAAAGCCATCATTTTTAATTAGAAATATTGAAAAATAAACATAAATCAATATTATTAGTATATAATAAACTTTTAAAATCGAATGAATTATAAATTACTTAACATTTATGTTACCAGTGCTGTTAATAATTACATATGTTATATATGTTTTTAAGGAATAATTCGTTCTATTTGCTAGTCTCGTTACCACATTAAATTTCAATTTTGCTTATTACTTAAACTATCTATTTTATTTCTGTGATTATAGCATTATATACTTTAATTATTTTCATGGTTATAATTTAACTTCTTTTAAATTCTTAGAAGCGTCAAATAATATATAGATACAAATAACAAAGAATTTAACTATATCTTTAATCATAAAAAATAAGGAATCATAATTAAAATACATAAATTTCAATTTCGAGTTATTTGTACGAGACCAGCTCTTCACATATATGTTGTAGATGTATTGCTTCAAAATATAATATAAAACGTAAATAATAATATACAAGATAATACACTTCGAACTAGTGAATATATGTATAATATGTTGACAATACATGTATTGTAAAGATACAGATAAATGAAGACACTCATTAAGGGGAAGAATTTGAACAAAATATTTGAATCACTCTTCTAAATCCAAATCGTCTAATTCCTCTTCTAAGCCTTCTAAATCTTCCTCTTTAAATAGATTCTCATTAATTGCTAATGCAGCCGCACCTTCGCCGACAGTAACTATTATATAAATATAAACTATTAATATCAATTCTTAAATATTATTTTTAAATCATAAAAGCATTTTCCCATACCAGTAGAATTTTCATTATTTATTTCATTATTATTTTTCAATCGATCTACACCAGCCACAGTTATTCCAGAAGTATCAATTTCACTGGCTTCAAATGCAAGTCGGTCCATGTCAAGTTCTCTATATTCAATCCTTTCTTCTGTCTCATCTTCTTCGCGGACATAACTAGATATCGCTTCA